ACCTGCCCTCCGAAAACTACATGACCTTGAAAAAAGAGATAGGAAGATATAAGCAAGTGGAAGAATATACCGTGTTTATAAATCTAAGCAATGCATAGATTCAATGCAATCCTTATTAAAATAGCAATGGAATACTTCAAAGATCTAGAACAAACACTCAAAAATATTATATGGAGCCAAAAAAGGTCTCTAAATACCTTCTGCTATCTTGAAATAGATGAAGAAATTTGGAGGAATCAAGATACCAGATATCAAGTTATACTACAAGGCCATTGTACTCACAACATTGTACTCACTGGTACTGGCTCAGGAACTGGCATATAGATTAATGGAACAGAATAGAGAACCCAGAATTGACCCAAGCCATTATGCTCAAGTAATATTTGACAAAAGAGGAAAGGGCATACAGTGCTGTAAGATATTCTCTTCAATAAATGGTGAGAAAATAAACAAATGGGACTACATCAAAATAAAAAGCTTCTGCTTAGAAAAAGCCATCAAAAAAAAATGAAAAGAGACCCTGTTACGTGGGAGAACATATTTGGCAGTGATACATCTGATAAGGATTAATTTTCTAAATATACAAGGAACTTACACAACTTAACAAAAGAAAGTCATACAATGAAATTAAGAAATGGGAAAAGGGCCTAAATAGATACTTCTCCAAAGCAGACATACAGAAGGTCGAGACATATGAAAAAATTCTCAAAGTCACTAATCATCTGAGAGATAACATTAAAACGACAATGAGTTATCACCTCACACCGGTCAGAATGGCTATCATCAACAAATCAACCAATGGCAAATGTTATTGAGGATATGGAGAAAAGGCACCCTTAGTACACTGCTGGTGGGAATGCAGACTGGTGCAGCCACAGTGGAAAACAGTATGGAGTTCCCTCAAAAATTAAAACTAGAACTCCCATTTGACCCATTGATCCCACTTCTAGGAATATACCCTATGAAAGCAGAAACACCAATCAGAAAGAATATATGCACTCCTATATTCACAGCAGTGTAACTTACAACAGCTTAGATTTGGAAGCAGCCCAAGTGTCCATCAGTAGATGAGTGAATAAAAAAGCTGTGGTACATTTGCTCCATGGATTACTATGCAGCTGTAAAAAAAGGACCTCACCCTTTGAGACAGCATGGAGGGACAGGTAGAATATTATGATAGGCAAAATAAACCAGTTAGAGAAAGATAAGTATCACATGATCTCACTCATTTGTGAAATCTGATGAACAAAATAGATCCAGAGACATAGAAGTATGGAACAGACTGAGGAATTTCAGAGGGAAGGCAAGGGTGAGGGTTGGGAGTGATTAACCTGGAATCTTATATGCACATATGCATAGCCAATGCACACAAACAACAGTGTACTAAAGGCCTGGGAGGAGAAGATTTGGGGTGGAAGGGGTCAATGGGGGGAAAAACAAAGGGGACATCTGTAATACTTTCAGCAATAAAGATAAAATTAAAAAAAACAATATTAAAAGAATAGAGGGGTAGGTTTCATCATGCCCTGGTAACTGCATGTTTAGATTTGAGCTTTACAACCATTTTACAAGGTAAGGATGACTCCCCTCATTTCTTAGATGAGGAAATTGAGGCTCAGAGAGGTTATATGGCTTGCACAAGACTACACAGTAGGTTAAACTCATGGTTTTGGACTCTAACTCTCTCCATTGTTTCATGCTGCTTTATGTCATAACTATCCTTTGTAATTGGATTTTCTGATCAGTGGTTCATTCCTATCACATCCTTACACTTGACCTTATGACTAATCTGGTGCTTGAAAACTCATATTCACCCCACCGAGGAGTCAGAAAGAGAAGGCAAAGGGGGAATTTTATTTTTTTGAAAGTGATTTCTTAAAAATATTTTTTTTATTAATTTCAGAGAGGAAGGGAGAGGAAGAGAGAGATAGAAACATCAATGATGAGAATCATTGACTGGTGCCTCCTGCACGCCCCACAATGGGGATCGAGCCCACAACCCAGGCATGTGTCCTGACCAGGAATTTAACCATGAACTCCTGGTTCATAGGTCAATGCTCAACCTCTGAGCCACGCCGGCTGGGCCTAATTTTAATGACATATATCTCTAGCCCTGTTCCCCTGTCACAGAAACAGAATTCTCTATCGTTGCTTGTTATCTTTAAATTCCAAAACAAAACAAAACTAAAACAATAGGAGATTCAATTGATGCTTTAATTTAGCTTTAAGATCAGGTACATCAAGCATGTCAAACTCGCAGCCCACAACAAATATTTTTACGGCCTAGCCAATATAACGATATGTAAGAAACTTTTTAATAAAAATTTCATAACTTAATTTTTACAATATCCTGTTATACATAATTATCAATAACAAACTACAACAGTCGCTAAGGACTGATTACTATAATCGTGTTGCATTCATTTCCCTCATGCGCTGGCGCACCATTTCTCTCCACTAACACTAGCAGCTAATATTTTAGCAGGCAATTGCCAAATCATTAGTCTTGGACTGACTTGTTTGGTGTGCGCAACAGGAAATATTTCACTTCGGAAAACAAGAAAAATAGGTTTATTTGCATTATGTTTATTAATTTGTGCAGTTATTCAGTGTCTGGTAAGTTAATGTTCAAGAAAAATATTAATTTTTATTAAAATGTTCTATTATTTTATGTCAATGATTACTCATTTATTTCAGCCCTTTGTATTCAGCATGTCTCTATTGAAATACACCTACGTTTCTATGAAAATTTGTAGCTTTTGTTTTTTTTGCAACCCACATAAACTTAAACCTTGTTTATTTGGCCTGTGTTAGCCTTTGAGTTTGACATGCTTGATGTACATCCTTTCCATTTGTGGAAACTAGTAGAGGTTTTGAAGGTTGACAATGATTATGACACACCAACTCAGAGAGAAAGGAAGCTGTAGGCTGAAGTTAGGAATAAAGGGAGTTTGAGACTGCCTTATTCTAGCATAGTGGTTAGCCACCTGTGTGGTCCAGACCTGGATTACTGGGTCTATGTGTAGTTGTATTATGCATTAAGGCAGGTTTTAAGCCTTTACAGATCAAACTATATTATATTGATCCATTCTAAGCTTGTCCTGCTTTTGTAGTTAAATTAACCTGACAGAGCCCACTTTTAATGTATATTTCCACAAAGTGTTCTTGAGGATGTGGAAGTCAGCACATGGGAGCCAATCCATTCTTTTGGCCAGATTGAGCCTGATGATAAAAGGAACCCAGGCTATGAAAGAGGCTTGGAGAAACATTTGCCCACTCTTTGTAGATGACCTCTTCTTCTCCTGTGAACTTGATGCCAGGGACACCCAACAGATCAGAACCCAAATGTACTCACAGATTATGTATGTGAATGATTATTATGGGAGGAAAAAGTACCATGTGATGATTATTTTTTGCAAAGCAATTCAATAAGATCTCCATTTTCCAGCCTGAAGCTTCAAGATTGACAGAGCTATGTTGGAAATCCTTAAGGACAGCCTTCCACAGCCCTACTAAAAAGCCCAGTTTACCATGCAGTGTGAAGAGTTAGGATTGGGAATGTGGCCATGGCCAAAAGCAAATCCTTGGCAGATAGCCTGCAGCTTAGAAATGAGTCATGTCAGGCGATTCAGTAGAATGGAAATAGTTTAATCAAACCATATCATATTAATAAAAGTTAATGAGCATTTCTGACTCTATCAAATTGTCTAAAAGTCCAAGTATAGGCCAACAGGAGGGATAATTGGCCAGAAAGGGCTCCTGCTACTAATAGAGGACATCTGTCTGGACAGGGCTCACTGGGGTCCTCTTTCACCAGACTCAGCCACACCACATGTCCCAGCATTAGGTGTGCTCTCAGGGGAAGTTTAGGACAGTGCTGAGAGAAGGCACTGAAAGACCACTCAGAGACCCTCATCAGACTTTATATTCCATAGGCCCACAGGTTATTTCATCTGTCTCTCTGCTTTTTAACTTATGAAATATTTGACATTCAAAAAAATATGAAAATCATGATGCACACCCATGTACTTACTATTCAATTTTAGAAATATTTTTACAAATGGTCTTGCTCCTCTCCTTTTCTGCTTTTTTCCTTCTCTTCCTTCCTTGCCTCTCCCATTCTCATCATTGTACTGAATTTCTCATGTATTGTTGTTGTATTTTTATAGTTTTTGTACATATGTATGTATCCTTAAACATGTGGCAACTTGTATGTTTTTAAACCTTATATAAGTGAAATAAATATAGATGAGATAAACTATATAGAAATTAAGGGAATGATGAGCATGGGATTTGAGATGGAGTTTGCTTTGTCATCATAGATTTTGGATTGTGTGATGGGTTCACCAAAACTTAATACATTATTAAAAGTAGTTAATTAGCCTTGGCCAGTGTGGCTCACTTGGTTGGGCATTGTACTGTGCTGGTTCAATTCCAAGTCAGGGCACATGCCCGAGTTGCGAGCTCAATCCCCAGTAGGGGGTATGCAGGAGACAGCCGATGTATGTTTCCCTCTCACATCAAGGTTTCTCTCTCTCTCCCTCTTCTTTCCTCTCTCTTTAAAAATCAATGAAAATATTACAAAAGTAATTAAGTAAATAAATATAGAAATAAGAGCACTATTCATAGACTAATGATGAGTGTCTCATAGATTGAGTTAGGATTAATCTAATTCTGTGCACTCAAGAGCAAAACAACTATGATAATAACAGATAAGCAATATACTATTTGTATATATGTACTTCTATTTTTCTCAGACAATAAGATTTGTAAGACTCATCCATGTCAATATATGAATTTCTTTATTAATTTTTATCCCCATTTCTCCTTCCATACTAGGCCTTCTCCAAAAATCCCCACAACACTAAGATAATGTGCCCAAATTTAGACCAAAACACCTCCCATTGGCAGTATTAGCATTCTGATGTGCCTATGTGCCAACTCTCTTGGTACCCACTCTCTACATACCTTTAACAAAGTCTTCTCTTCTTCCCACCTAGGACCTGATTCGGAGAGACATCCTATACTACAAAGGCCGCATTGACATGGATAAATATGAGGTAGTAGACATTGAAGATGGCAGAGATGATGACTTTAATGTCAGCATGAAGAATGCCTTTAAACTTCACAACAAGGAGACTGAGGAGGTGCACCTATTCTTTGCCAAGAAGCTGGAGGAGAAGATACGCTGGCTCAGGGCTTTCAGAGAAGAGAGGAAAATGGTACAGGAAGATGAAAAAATTGGTAAGTGACTTCAGAAGAGAACAAAGAATATGGTTATGAAGAACATAAAGGATTGGAAATAGTTTTCATTTCTCTAGAGGCGGAAGGAAGATTATATTGCAAGCTGATTTAATCAACTTTGTTGGTTCCCTACCATTAGGTGCTTTTTGGTAGATACCAGTAGTTTCCCTTAGTTAGGGTTAAGTGAGTTACAGGTCAGCTTCCTCTACAGTCTCATTACTAGATAAAACTATTACATGGAAAGCAAACCTCTGACTCAATTCTTTCAAACATACAGACATTTATCAGCAAAACAACATGAAAGTAGTTATACAGCCTATTCTGTAATCTCAATGCAGTCTCAATTCTAATCTTAGATACATGATGGAATCTTCTGTGAAAGGTTAGTCAAGGCAGATTTGGTAATATAGTGACAGGATTCAGCTAACTTTCTAGTCAGAGTCTGATGACAGAATCCTTTCATGAAGGTCAAGTCATAGCATCTGTTTTCAATTTTAAGCTTTAGGCTTCCTTCTGAAAGGCATAGGCTAAAGGACTTACTGGATTCTTATACCCAGTCTTTGTGAGGGCTAAGGTGCCTGTAAGACATTTGTGGCCACTGCACATCTTGTATAACATTCACTTTCCCAATGAAAGTTCATTTTTATTTTTTTAAATTTTGTTTTATTGCTTAAAGTATTACAAAGAGTATTACATATGTCTCCTTTTTTTTTCTCCCCTTGACCTTCCCCTGGCCTCCCCTACCCCGCAGTGTCTTGTGTCCATTGGTTATGCTTATATGCATGCATACAAGTCCTTTGGTTGATCTCTTACCCCCCCCCCAACCCTCCCTGGCCTTCCCACTGTAGTTTGACAGTCTGTTCCATGCTGCTCTGCCTCTGTATCTATTTTTGTTCATCAGTTTATAATGGTCTTAATTATCCATAAATGAGTGAGATCATGTGGTATTTTTCTTTCATTGACTGGCTTATTTCACTTAGCATAATGCTCTCCAGTTCCATCCTTGCTGTTGCAAATGGTAAGAATTTCTTCTTTTTTACAGCAGCATAGTATTCCATTGTGTAGATGTACCACAGTTTTCTAATCCATTCATCTGCTGATGGGCAAAGTTCATTTTTAAAAACATATGTTTTTATTGGGAGAGGGAGAGAGAAAAACTTTAATGTAAGAGATAAACAACAATTGGCTGCTTCCTGCACACCCCCTACTGAGGATCAAGCCTGCAACCCCGGCATGTGCCCTTACCGGAAATTGAACCAACAACCTTTTGGTGCATGGGATGACACTCAACCAACTAAGACACACCAGCTAGGGATGAAAGTTCATTTTTAACATTTGTTAGGCTAATTAGGCTTCTTGCATAAGGTGACTAAATGGCTGGTAGTAGTGGCCTCGATAGGAAAGATTTCTGAGTATTTAATATTGCTAAACATCACCTCTTGAGTGTACATTCCTGATTAGGGTACTTTAAATGCTCAGAATATAGATTATAATTAATGTAAATGTATATATCATACCCTCTGTATGAAAATATTTTGAAATAAATTAATAAATAGGTTGTAAAATCATAACCACTTGCATGATTTCCATTCACACTAAACCATACTCTTTTGTATGAGAGAGTGTTCCCCTTTTCCACAAATGATATAGCTTGGAGAGATATTTTTTATTCTGCTTCCCAAATGGGATTTATGCTCCATTGGAAGTAGTTGTGTGGTTTACAAAGTACTATCAGGTCTCTTGCCCATAGTCATGCATTTCTAATATAAAAATATAAAAATCCAGGCTTTGTAATTCCCTAAAAAATAGTTTCTGTTTTTTCACTACTCCAAATGGGAGTAGAATTGTACTTTAAAATACTTTTACACTCAAGTTTGTAGAAACTGCCTCTAGAAAAAAGAGCCTACCCACTGAGTTCTGGTACAATTGGATTCTCCTATCCTTAAGTGTAGGGGATTGAAATGATCCAAAAGCAAGGTAATATAATTAGAAAAACACTGCTTAGTCTTATCCTCGTCTTCTCAAGTCTTAGTTAAAATGCATACTGATAATTCACTTTGAGTCCCATTGGTGTCAAATTGCTTTTAGCTTATGGGCACTGATTTGGGGCATGATGTGGAGTGGTACTGAAATGCTACTGGCTTCTTCTCCCAATGGCAGCAGTAGCAGCCTTTGACATTGCATAGGTTGTTAGGGATATTAAAGGAATTTTCTTAGTGTGCTTTCTGAAGCCCCTAGATCAACTTGAATATCTCCTCCATTCTCTATGGTTCAAACACGATGCCTCACGCACAATGTCCTAATGACCTATAACTTTGAGAATCTGCCTCTAATAGAAAAGCTTACAGAAGTTCAATCCTGGCAGGCCAATGCTTGTCTTTTAAAGAGTAAATGTTTGTTTGTTTTTCTGATTATAACTAAACTAGAGGCCCAGAGCACGAAATCTTTGTGGTAGAGTCCCTAGGCCTAGCCTGCAATCAGGACCATCTTCTGCCCGTTCGCCAGTCTCAGGCTGCCTCCAATGCCAGGGCGGGTGGATCGTGGGTACACCCCCAGCTTTTGTCAGTGCTGCAAGCCCCAGCAGCAGTGGCAGCAGCAGCAGCAGCAGCGGCAGCAGCAGCAAGCGGCCCCAAGTGGGCAGCGCATTCCATCAGCAGCTGGCCCAGCACATGCTCATGGAGGTGAAGTCACCGGTGCCCACTTTCCCACTGGCCTGAGCCCCCTAGAAGCCAGGGATGAGCTGGGGATCGATCCCAATGCCTGACAGCCAGCCCAGTCCTCCCGCCACCCACCCTGGTTTCCCCGTTCACCACTGCTGATCCATCGGATCCTGCAGGCCCGGGGGAGGGACCAAGAGGTCAGCTGTTCTGCCTGCTAGCCGGTCCCCAGTCCCGCCCTGCCCTGCCACCACCCACTTGCTTCCCTGTGGTTCCCTGTTCACCTGCAGGTGGGGGTAGGGAGGTGAGGAGGTGGGGGAGGGGAGGGACCGAGATGTGGTCAATGCACCTCATGGCAACTGGTTGAGTGGTCATTCCAGTCGTTATGCTTATGGTCCCTGGCCTTTTATTATACAGGACTAGAGGCCCGGTGCACAAAAATTTGTGCACTCGGGGGGGTGGAGAGGGGGGTCCCCCAGCCCGGCCTGTGCCCTCTCGCAGTGTGGGACCCCTCGGGAGATAACGACCTGCTGGCTTAGGCCTGCTCCCGGGTGGCAGAGGCAGGCCCAATCCCTAAGTGCAGCCCCTGGTCAGGCTCAGAGCAGGGCCGATTGGGGAGTTGGGGCGCCGCCCCGTCATGCGAAAGAGCAGGGCGGATCGGGAGGTTGCGATGCCACCCTCAGT